TCCTGGAGAGCAGAGCTTTCGTTTCCCACCCTCTGACGGGAGGGCCTGGTGCCCGCCTCGCCCTTCCGCCCTCCCTGTCCCTCCCCACCGTAGCCTCCTCCCGCCTGGCTTCTCCTCCTCCTCACCCCTCCTCCTCGGCCCCTCTACCTCCCTCCTCCTTCTGTCCTTTTCCAGGGCAGTGGTACTCAGTCACTGAGCTACACCCCCAGCCCCCTCCCTTTTTTTATCTTCTATTTTGTGACAGGTCTTGTTCAATTGCCCAGGCTAGACTGCAACTTGGGATCCTCCTACTCAGCCTCCCTAAATGCTGGGATTCCGTGGCTATGCCATCATGCCTAGCGCCCTCTTCTTTTTAGGCGATTTATTTCAGACACCAAGAAAGTACCCTGATGGTTTATTTAAAAATCGATAACTGCCGGGCGTTGTGGGGCAGGGCTGTAATTCCAGCGCTCCGGAGGCTGAGGCAGGAGGATCGCCGCGAATTCGAGGCCAGCCTGGGCTACATAATGAGTTCAAGACCAGGTGAAGCTACACAGCAAGACCCCCTCCCTCTTTCTGGGACCAGAGATTGAATCCAAAGCTTTCGCCTACAGTTCCACCCCCATCTCTTTTTTCTTTTTGAGATGGGTTCTTGCTAAGTCATCATAAATCACCAACTCTCCCAGGCTGGACTCCAATCTGTGATCCTCCCGCCTCAGTTTTCGGGAGTGCTGGGGTTACAGCTATGTACCACCCTGCCCAGCACCTATTCTCACTTTGATGTGCTACCTAGAGTTCCGGAAGTTCACTCCTTTCAGGTGTAGCTTTTCCAAGACTCTCAGTTAAGATGTAAATTGTTCAGGAAGAAGAATTAAATAGCTTACTATTAGGCAAACACAAATTGAGTAGCGTCCAGCACCGTTCTAATTGTTGGGGATACAGCACAGAGCAAAATAAAAATCTCTCCTCTCACCAGGCATGGTGCTGCACACCTGTAATCCTAGCACTCAGGAGGCTGAGGCAGGAGTATTGCTGAAAGTTCAAGGCTACAATGGACTACACAGCAATACTGTTTGAGAAAGAAAAAGAGAAAGAACGAGAGAGAAAGACTCTCTTCTCATAGAAAGTAAAGTTTGCTAATAGCTGAGTAAATTGTTTTAACTACAGAAAATGAAAACCTCAAAGTAGGGTGATGAGATACAACATGACAATGGTGCAGAAAGAATGGTCGGTGATAGGATGACATCTGATTTCCTGAATCAAGAGAGGGAGTTGGCCATACGGAGATGAGGGAGAAGAGCAGTTTGGGCAGAGGAAACATCAAGTGCAAAGGCCCTGAGGTGGCAATAAATATGGCAGGTAGAAATAAACATATCAAGTACAAGGAAGAGTCAGAAGGCCAGGCACCTTTCATGTAGTAGGCAAAGGAGGGTGGAACCAGATTAAAGTGAGAAGAAAGCTGGGTGTGATGGTGACGCATTCCCATAATCCCAGCACTCTGGGAGGCTGAGGCAGGAGAATGGCAAATTCAAACCCAGCCAGGGTAATTTATCTACTTAGTGAGACCTTGCCTCAAAATAAAAAGTAAGACTAAGGGTATAGCTCAGTATAAAGGCCCTAGATTCAACTCCCAGTTCCAAAAAACAAAAAAACCTAAAAAGTTTGAACAGCTTGAACAGAATCAATGACCTGCTTCCGCTGGGAGGTGACACACATCTTTCACGTTGAGGCTTTGACAGTGACTGTGACAGGTAAAAACCGGTGTCATGGTGGTTTTCAGTAGCATTTTGGTGCGATTTTGTTACAGCCCAGTGTTACGGTTACCTGAAGGTCTCCAGTGGTGAAGCAGTCAAGCTGCACTCAAGATGAAGGGGGCCAGGGATTGAGCTCAGTAGCATCCTGCCTCACAACACAAGGCCCTGAGTTCGATCCCCAGTACCAAAAAAAAAAAAAAGAGAGAGAGAGAGAGAGAGAGAGATGGAGGGGTTCTTTACTACACCAGCAACTCAGAGGAGTTCACACTCTGAAGTCTGAGCCCCAAATAGCAATGCAAGCAGCCTTATATAGCGATCTTAGGAGAAGGAGTGCTGGTCCCACCTACCAGGCGAGCATGCTCACTAAGGCAGTTGGGCAGAGTTTATAGAGTATTCCTGACACCTTACGTACAGACACAGTGCAGCACAACTGTTACACTACTTGAACAGAACGTTTGATACACTGGGCAGGAACATCTGCAGAACAAACAGTTACACTGCTTAAGCAGAAACATCCTATGGCGAGGGGGTGGGGGCTTGCCTACAAAGGCCTGCCCTGTTGTGCATTATTTCTTTATTGATTTTAGCTAACACTTCTATTTTTTTTAGTACTTTTCCTTTTTTCCTGCAGATAACACAAACACAGAAGCTACCCTGAAACGGTTAGAAAAGCACATGTTAGAAATCAAGGAGGCCTTGAAGAATTTGTAAGTTGCCAAGTCCCTTGTAAGCTGCAGTTCCCGAAGTACAAGTCATCTGCTTTCCAGGAGCTCGTGCCCCCATCCACCCCTGCCGACCCCACTTTCTGGAAGCAGCCACAGGTTTGGGGCCAGGCTTCTGTCCGTATAGCAGAATTTAAAGGAGCTTCTTCCTCTAATCCCAGAATTCTGGAGGCAGAGGCAGGAGGTGGTCTCGAGTTCAAGGCCAGCCTGGTCTACATAGCGAGACCCTGTCTCAAAAACACGAAATAAAACAATAAATATGAGCTTCTTGTCCAGCAAAAGATCCCCTGGCACCCATCAAAAGTGCTAGAAACTTCCATGAATAGTGTCTGTGTGAAGCACCTTTTGGTTACCAGAAGAAATGCTAGAGATAATCAATTTAGAAAGTGAAGTTTCTTTTGGATCACAGTTTTGGAAGTTTCAGTCCCTAATCAGTTGGCTCCATTGTTTTGGAACCTGTGGTAAACAGCATATGGCGGTAGGTGGAGGAGACAGAGCAAAAGTGCTCAGTTCAGGCACAAGAATAAAAGCACAGAGGAAGTCAAGGAGTCCCACAATCCCGTGGGGCCCACCCCCCAGGACCTCGAGGGCTCCCGCCAGGCCCAGCCTCTTAGAGGGCTCACGACCTCCCGGAGCATCACTGCAGAGCTGGCCTGTAGCACGCGGGCCTTCAGAGGACGTTCCAGATCCCAGCTTCACCGCACTTGCTGAATGTTCAAGAAGAAATTCAGATCCAACTTCAAGTGCTCTCCACTCAGTGAAGCTGTGGGAATCCGCTCGTACTGTCGGAAGCTGGGCAGGAGGGCGCTAGGACGTGGAGAGTCCAGGGAGCGCGGGGCTAGGGTACAGGAGGGGAAAGGAGAGAGTGGACCCTGCCGCAGGGAAGTCGGTGAATTTTCTCTGGACTGACGGGATGCCAGGTGGCCCTGCACCAAGCTGTGCGGCAGGAGGAGGAGGAACTTCTCGATGAGAGGGCTCCAAGTTAAGGCTGGCCAGATGCAGTGGCGCAGGCCTGGAATCCTAGCCCTCAGCCAACGAAGCAGTGGCATCGGTGCAAGTTCAAGGCCAGCCTGGAACTACACAGTGAGACCCTGTCTCAAAAAAAATAAATAAAAAGGAGCTAAGGCTGGAAAGACGAGCAGGGTTGACGAGGAGGGCAAGGAAGGGCTAACCGTCCAGCTCTTTCTCTTCAGGTCAGTGAGAAGCAGAGCCCTTCTACCTTGGGATGACTCCACTGGAAGGCCCCCTGGGGCAGTTCTGGTTCATGCCGTGCCCCCCGTTATGTCACAGAGGTGCCATTTCCCCTAGACATTTTCCTAGCTCTCTGCCTCATTTGGGTTGGGGGGGGTTCTGTTTTGTTTTGATGTTTCTGTTTTTTGTGTTTGCAGTGCTGGGCATTTGACCTGGGGCCTCAGGCACACTCAGCCGGAGTTCTACCCATGTAGCTCACTGACTGTCTATTTCCTTCAGTCCCTGGCTGAGCTCAGACCCGCCACGACCCACACAGGAGCAAATCAAGGAGATGAAGGAGGAGGAGCTCTCGGGAGCCCCACGGACCCCGCTGAAGCAGAGCGAATTAGTGAACTTTATAAAGGAGCCTATCACCGGTCTCCAGTGGCCATAGAAGTATTCAGTAAGCCCCAGGCCAAAAGCATCAAGTAAGTTGTTTTGTATGATCTCGGAGGTATCACTTTTGCGGAACTCTCCAGGGATGGAGATGTACTGTCTCCATTTTTGGATGGGGAAACCAGGTCCCCAAGGGGTAAATGACTTGTCCTGTACTATTAATGAGCAGAGGTTGGATTTAAACAACTGTCTTTCTACCTTGATTATAGATCTTCCTAGTTTTATTTATGGGTTAGGAACTTTAAAAAGTGTGTTCCCAGGCTAGGGATTTAGCTCAGTGGTTCTAGTGCCTGACTCAAAAGAGCAGGGACCCAAGTTCAATCCCTAGTACCAAAAAAAAAACAAAAACTGTGTTTCATTCAATCCTGTTTCTCAGTTCCCCATCCCTTGCACAGACGACAGTTCTAGTGTTTCATTTCTATGTGTGTTTTTGTTGTTGTTGTTTTTACATGTTCATTTGTTTGAGACAGGCTCTCGCCACGTAGTTCAGGCTGGAACTCACTATGAAACCAGGCTGGCTTCAAACTCATGGCAATCCTCCTGCCTCAGCCTTCAGAGTGCGGGGAAGACAGGTGTGCACCAACCACCATGCCTGGCCTGAAACTGTTCTCTTAATTTAATTTTCAAATGGAAATACAACTAATTATTATAGGCTTTGGACTAATTATTATAGGCTCTGACAGACCCTGGGCAAGGGGCTATTCCTTTCTTTTAAATTAATATATGTTTACCATACATAATAATTAATTCATCTTGTGGAATGGGCACATATACATCTCACGTCTTTGTCATTTGTATTTCCTCTTCTCCTCCATCTCCATACTCCCTTCTTTTTTTTTTTTTTTTTTTTTTTTTTTTTTTTTTTTAGCTACCAGGGATCAAACTCGTGTCCTTGGGCTTGCAATCCATACTCTCTTCTTATCTTCACGAAGTCTACCTACCTGTTTCCTATCATCTGTCTTTTATTTTGCTCATTAAAGTATTTCTATTTTGGGTTTCTCTCATATAAGAGGAAAGCATCCTATATGTAACCCCTGTTATTTCACTTGTGGTCTCAAGGTACACCCGTTTTCCTATAAACGACTCAATGCATCACGCAATGCTGAGTCGTACCCCACTGTGTATAAAGAGTATACCACATTGTCTTTATGTGTTGAGGGACATATAAGTCTCTTCGAAGACTTAGCTATTTTGAGCTGTGCTGCTGTAAATACGAGAATGCACGTATCACTGTAATATTATGTCTTTAGCTCTTTTGAGGAGATACTTAGGAGGGGAATAACTAGGTCAAAGGGAATTTGTACATTTAGTTTTTTGAGAAATCTCCATAGAGATTTCCATAGTGGTTACACTAGTTTATATTCCCACTGACAATGTAGAAGGACACCTCTTTCCTCACAACCTTGTCAGCATTTTTTATTTTTTGAGTTCTTTTTGTTTTTTGTTTTTTTGAAACAGGGTCTCACTATGTAGTTGAGACTGACCTGGAACTCACTATGTAGCCCAGGTTGGTCTCAAACTCACAGCAATCCTCCTGCCTCAGCCTCCTGAGTGCTGGGATTACAGGCATGTGCCACCACGCCTGGCTCTATTTTTTGAGTTCTTGATGATAGCCATTCTTTCTGGAGTAGGATGGTATCTGAATATTGTTTAAATTTGCATTTCTTTAATGGCCAGCGATGTTGAACATTTTGTTATGTACTTATTGGCCATTTGTACTTCTTATTTTGGAATTATCTATTCATTTCAATTGCCTATTCTTTGTTTTTTTGGTTTTTTTTTTTGGTACCAGGGATTGAACACGGGTCCTTGCACTTGCAAGACAGGCCACCTAACTGCTGAGCTAAATCCCCGGCAATTACCTATTCTTTGAATAGGGCTTTTATTTGAGAGAGTTCTAATCTTGTTGAGCTCTTTATATATTCTAGATGCTAGTCTTCTGTCTGAGTAGCTGGCAAAAATTATTGTCATTCTATAGGTTATCTCTTAACTCTTTTGGTTCTTTTCTTTGCTGTGCATAAGCTTTCTTATTTGAGATGCTCCTGTCTTGATTCTGAGTGCCATTTCTTTCTTTCTTTTTGGGGGGAGGGTACCAGGGATTGAACTCCGGTCCTTGCACTTACGAGGCAGGTGGTGGAACCACTGAGCTAAATCCCTGGCCCTGAGTGCTATTTCTTATGCTGTTGGGGTTCTATCCAGAAAGTCTTTGCCTATGCCTATGTCTTCAAGAGTTTTACCTATTTTATCTTCCAGCAGGTTAGGTGTTTCTAATTTTATATTTAAGTTTGATCCACTTATTTGATTTTAGTCCATGGTGAGAGATACGGTTTTAGATTCATTCTTCTGCCTGTGGAGAGGCAGTTTTCCCAGCACCGTTTTCCTCCATTGTGTTTTTGGCCCTTTTGTCAAAGATCAGATGGCTGTGCCCTTTCTCTTTAAGTGTCCCACTCACTGTGATTAAGAAAGTTGAATTGAGCTAGTGATTCCAGGGAGACCATTTACTTCCCACATTCCTGAAGGCCCATGGTCTTGAAAGACTTTTGTTTATAAAATTTCTCTTAATCATTCAGGAGTCTGAGGCAGTTGGATCACTGAGTTCGAGGCCAGCCTGTACTACATAGCAATACCTTGTCTCAAAAATAAAAATACAAGATAATAATAATAATAATAATAAATTTTTCTCTTAATAAATAATACCATTGGGCATGGTGATGCCTGCCGATAATTCTAGCACTTAGGAGGCTGAGGGAGGAGAATCACCGTGAGTTTCAGGCCAGCTGGGCCACGTAGTGAATTCAAAGCCAGCCTGAACTACATAGTAAAACCCTGTCTCAAAAAAAACACCAAAACAAAACCTGAATTTGTTTTTGCCAATCAAGGACACACACCTCAGTCTATGAGAGCCTACACTAAACCACACAGTAACAAAAATGTGACCTGTGGGTTTGCCTAGTAAAGCCTCATAGTTCATAAAATACAGTGTTAGCCGGGCGTGGTGGCACACAGCTGTAATCCCAGCACTCGGATAGCTAAGGCAGGAGGATTGGAAATTCAAGGCCAGCCCTGGCTACCCAGCACCACCCTGTCTCAATATAACAAAATAAATCAATAAGTTAGTTAATGTAATTCTATCAGGCACTTGAGATACCAAAACCAGATTAGCGGGCCACATTACTCTTCACAGACACTTGGGGACTGGCTCTGCTGCACGTTCACCCGGAGTTCCGTGTTTCCCACTGCAGCCAAGTTTACCCCCGACCAGTGAGGCTGCTGGCACCTTGCCCCCCCCCACACACTCCGGTTACCCTCTCAGGAACTTCTGGGTCTGAATGCTAACCCCGCTTCCCCTCCTAGAACAGTGAGAAAGCATTTCCACAAGGAGATCAGCCACCTGAGAGAGTTTGATTCTCCCAACATCCTGCACATACTCAGGATTTGCATTGTTGAAAGAGGTAAGGGGGCTTCTGGGGTTGATTGAGTTCGGAATGGCCTGGGATCACCTTCTGTGTTTTAATGAGTTATGTTTTTTAGGAACAGCTAAAAGGGAATGATCTATACCGTGTAGATTTGTTTTTCTCTTCTTTTGCTTAGTTTTGTTTTAGTATATGTGCTGCCAAAGCGAGCACTGCTTAGTTTTGTTTTGTTCTGTTTTGAGATAGCCTCTCATTATGTAGTTGAGGCTGAACTTGAGCTCACTACATAGCCCAGGGTGGCCTCAGACTGGCAGCGATCCCCCTGCCTCAGCCTCTCAAGTACTGGAATTGCAGGCGTGCCTCCCCACGCTCAGCATACAACGTGGTTATTATCAGTGAATTTGTTTGTCTCATAATGCAAGTTCCAGTCTTTCATGAGAACAGGGCTTTGGGCCAAGGGTTGTTTGCATGAATGTGGCCATGTTTCCTTCGGCGATTCCCTGGGACCCCAGGGGGTGCTTGATCAGATGCTGGCCGAACCAAAAAAAAAAAAATTCACACAGATGCTGGCCTGGATGGCGGACACGTTAGTTGCTGTAAAATAATGTAAAGTTGCCTGACCCAAATAGGGAATCCACCCTTGATCATCTAAAAAGTCAACTGCCTGCTCTTTTATCAAGAACCTTGTGGACTGGTTCTTTCTCTCTCTCTTTCTTTCTTTTGGTACTCAGGATTGAACTCAGGTCCCTGTGCTTGCGAGGCAGGCACCAGAACCACTGAGCTAAATCCCTGGCCCGGTTCTTTATTTATTATTTTTGTTTGTATTTTTTGAGATAGAGTCTGACCTCAAACTCTGGCAATCCTCCTCAGCCTGCTGGAATTACAGTCACATGCCAACACACCCAGCTTTACTTTTTAATGTGGCTGAGTTTTCTCGCATAGCATGGTCTCTCCTGCTGTCCATGCCTTACCACTATTGCCTAGACAGGGGACAGAACAACTCCCGTCCTATCGGCTCTGGCGCTCTCTCTGCAGCCCTGGCCAGTTGGACTTCAGAGCACAGACTCCCAGTCTAGAGGAAACCTATTCTCCTGGGTAAAGGCCGAGGTAGCTGACTCACCTTGGTGTGTTGGTTTTCTGCCTCAAGCCTATGCCCTGAGACCTTGACTAGACTCTTGTGAGCACTGTGCAAACAAAACACATGTTTGCAGCCCTGTTGGGCCTCACAGTTGAATGGGAAGACATGACTCAAATAAATACTCAAACAAATGTAGAATTGTACCATGCTAAGCCGGGAGTGGTGGTGCATTTCTATTTTCCCAGCATCTGGGAGACTAAGGCAGGAGGAGAGGCCGGCCTGGGCTATATAGTGAGGTCAAAACCAGCTTCAAAGGAGCCAGGGAATTTAGCGCAATGGTTCCGCCACCTGCCTCGGAAGCACAAGGACCCAAGTTCGATCCCTGGTACCAAAAAAGAAAAAAGAAAAATACACCCAGCTTCTAAAATAAAAATAAATAAATAAGCATCTGGGAGACTAAGGCAGGAGGAGAGGCCGGCCTGGGCTATATAGTGAGGTCAAAACCAGCTTCAAAGGAGCCAGGGAATTTAGCGCAATGGTTCCGCCACCTGCCTCGGAAGCACAAGGACCCAAGTTCGATCCCTGGTACCAAAAAAGAAAAAAGAAAAATACACCCAGCTTCTAAAATAAAAATAAATAAATAAAATAGGCAGGAGCTTGGAAAAGGGCTTCTCTCCCTACCGCAGGAAGTTCACCTCGGTTCTGCATGGTCACCGAGGACTGTGAGCAGGGGAGCCTGAGGGACGTGCTGGTTGAGGACACGAACCTCCCGCTGGGTCTGCAAATCCTCCTGGTCCTGGGAGCAGCCAAAGGCTTGCACCAGTACTGGTGCGTGCCGGGCCCTGGGAGAGGGGACCAGTCTGTCTGCGCTACCCATGAAGACCCGGGGAGGAAAGGTGGAAGCCCCAGATCGCCTCTCCTCCACCGGCTGTGTCAGTATATAATCTGATTACAGCGCCTGAAGGAAGGACAGGAGGCTAAAGCCAGTCAGCAGCAGTTCCCAGAATTGCAGATTGAATTTGCCAATCAGGCTGCTCTCGCCCCGGGATGAGGAAGGAGCTCTTTCTACCTCTGAACTATCTCCAGCTCTCTTTATTTTTATTATTTTTTAAATTTTGAGACAAGTTTTCACTGTGTTCCTCAGGCCCCAAGAGGGGCTCAAATTTGAGATTCTTCTGCCTCAGCCTCCCAAAATGCTGGAATTACAAGTGAGTGAACCACACCCAGCTTCTTGTGGAGTTAAACAGACCCTACTCTTAGGGCTGCCAGATTTAGCAAATAAAAGTGCACATACCCAGTTCAATTTAAATTTCAGATAACTGTCTGAATCATGAATATTTATGTAGTATAAGTATAGCCTAAATATTGGGTGGGACGTACACTGAATTTCAGATCTATCAAATTTCAGATAAACAAATATTATTCTTTAGTGTAACTATGTCCCATGCAGTTTTGGTAGATACTTGTATTTTTAAAAAATTCATTGCTTAGCCAAAGCGAAAACTGAACTGGGTGACTTTTGTCTCACGTCTTACCTGGCAGCCCTCACTGCAGCCACATGAAGTCCATGGTTCTATTCCTGGGTCTCAGGAGGTCGGACTTGTAAGTCACCTGCAGTGTTTTTGTACAACATTGCTAGTACCCTCCTCCCCCAGTACTGGAAATCTAACTCAGGACCTTGTGCTTGCCTGACAGTCATGGGCAGAGGTGTCATCGAGCTAAATCCCTGGCCCTCACCAGTATTATTACTTTTTTTTTTTTTTTTTTTTTAGACAACATCTCACTATGCAGCCCAGGCTGACCTCAAATTTGCAGCAATCCTCCTGCCTCAGCCACCTGAGTGCTGGGATTTCAGGCATGCACCACCACATCCGGCACAGGTATTATTTACTTAACATTTCTTGAAATAGCGGAGATTAAACTGAGGACCTTTGTGCTGGGCTACATCCCCAGCCCTTTTTTATTATTTTATTTTGAGACAGAGTCGCTACATTGACCTAGGCTGAGCTTGAACATGCAGTCTTCCTGTCTCAGCCTCCTGAAGTGCTGGGATTACAGGTGTGAGCCACCACCCCCAGCTAATATTTTTCTTCAAATGGACTTGCTTTTTAAAAATCTAAATAAATAGTTCTTAAAACCTAAATAAGATAATAAATAAATAAATATAAGAGGCCAAGGCATGAGGATCACAAGCCCAAAGCCAGCCTAGGCAACATAGCAAGATTCTGTCTCAAAATAAAATTTTTTCAGAGAGCTACAAGTGGGCGTGGTGGTGCGTAACTGTAATTGCAGCACTCTGGAGGTTGAAGCAGCTCCAGGCTAGCCAACTACACAGCACGTTAAAGCCCAGCCTGAACTACTAGCAAAACTCTGTCTCAGTAGCTAGATGTGGTGGGGTATGCCTAATCCCCACTTGGGAGGCTGAGGCAGGCAGATCAGCAAGAGTTTGAGGCCATCCTAGACTAAATAGTGAGTTCACAGCCAGCCTGGACTGTCTCAAAAAAACAAAAGCAAAACAACACCAAAGCCCTATCTCAAAAGTTAATTAAAATTAAAATTAAAAAGGTCTCAGTGGGAAGAGTGCTTGCCTAGAATGTGCAAGGATTTGAATTCAGTGCCCTGAAACAAAAAACAAAACAGTAAAAAAAAACTTTGTTGCCTACCATAAAACCAGAATTATTTTCCACAAAGAGGTGACCACAAATGAAATGAAAGAATGTAGGGCCCGGGATTTAGATCAGTGGTTCCACCTCCTGCCTTGAAAGTGCAAGGACCGGAGTTAGATCCTGTACCAAAAGAGAGAGAGAGGGGGGGGGGAGAGAGAGGGAGAGAGAGAGTGTAAATAGATTCTCCCCAGAATAAGCTGCCTTCCAGCAGGTCTGTAATTCAGACACAACGCGCTTCCTCTTTGTACTCGAGAGACAGTATTTGACTCAAGGATGTATCAAGGACACTGTCACCAAATTGAGACTTTTTCCTTAATACAATCAGAAAGACTAGAATAAATTGAAAGGAGGAGGATCTTCTCTGTGTATAATCCTTTTTTTTTTTTCCCTTTTATTGTGACAGGTGTGGCGGTCCAGCCGTCGCAACACGAACGTGCCTGAGTTGGGGAGTGAGGACTGAGAAAGGAAAGAACACTCAAGCCTGAGCGGAGACGAAGAGAAGTCTGATTTATGTCACAGGAACAGCTCCTTTTATAGGTTCACATCAACAGGAAGCACCAAGCAACTATTTGTATCTTTTATGCAAAGACCGGATTTTCTGACTCTGCAAAGAACATCAGATCTATGGCTGTCTCTTTGAGTTTCTTCCGTTGCAGCAACAAGTTTAACAAGCAGAGTCCTAGAATGTTACAGATTGTATCAATGCCTTGAGTGTAGAGGTGAAGAAGTTTCCTTTTAAATGTCAAACTCCTAGAGGGCCACGGCCCGGCTCCCACAGACAGGGTCTGTTATGTAGTTCAGCCTGGCCTTGAACTCACTATGGAGCCCAGGCTGGCCTCAAACTCATGGCAATCCTCCTGCTTCAGCCTCCCAAATGCTAGGATTGTAGGTATGCATAGTTGGTTCTCCATATATAATCTGGCATAGTACTATACCTCATTCTCTTTGGAAATACCATACTAACTATTAATTTAACTTTTTGGTTTTGGTGGGATTTTTTTTGTTTTGTGTTGTTTTATTTTGTTAACAGAGACTTGCTCAATTTCCCAGGCTGCCCTCAAACTTTCAATCCTCTTGCCTCAGCCTCCCAGAATTCTGGGATTACAGGTCTGTACCTGATTGGTTTATAAATGCTGGCTTAGTGCTTTATAATCTATCTCAAATAACCCTCACTGCCATCATCCTTGTTACACACTGGAGAAATCTCTCTGTATTTCTCTTGGTTCAATGCAGTATGATAAATTGATTGAATGAAGTCAGCCAGCAACGTAGCACACAGACACTGGAAATCAATCCATCAAGGAAGAGACCATTCTGTGATAATCCTGGGTCCGACCAGCCCCCATCCCCTGCCCTCCACTCAAATCTTCCTTCTTCTTTCTGCCTCTAACTCATCTTTCTGTCTAGCTCACCGGATTTGAGTTGAGAGAAGACTTCCGTCAGTCAGAAAATGAAGGAGCCTAAAACAGCATCCATCTCACCCCAGAGACGGAACAATCCATTTCATAAATACGGCATTAAAGCTGAAATATACAGGTATGTTCCTGTTCTTGTGCTCATCCCACCTCAAATGAACAGAACAGGAAGTCCAAGGAAAACTTCCTCTGAGAGCCAGGCGAACTGGTGCACACCTGTAATGCCGGCACTCAGGAGGCTGAGGCAGGAGGAACACTGAGAGTTCAAGGCCAGTCTGGGCGACATAGTGAGTTCAAGGCCAGCCTAGACAACACAGTGAGACCCTGTCTCAAAAAAACAACAAAAACAAAAACAAAAAGACCTCCTCTGAGGACCACCTTAATTCTGTTGAGCAGAGTTGAGGGGTAATCAGAAAAGTCACCGAGTTTTCTGGAAATGACTAGAGGGACACAGGAAAGGAACTCATTGTAGTGTTAAGTTTCTTGGTTTTCCTTCAGCTTTGGAATCATCCTCTGGGAAGTTGTCGCTGGGAGGATGCCATTTGAAGGTGAAGACTGTAAAGGCTGGCTCTGCTGGTTTTGGGTTGGGCCCCTGTCCACGAGACTAGAAATCCCTGTTAGTGCAGGTCCACGTGCTTGGCCCTTCGGTGGAAAGTGTCTGGGTTTATCAGCGGCATCAGTGGACATCCGTGTCTTCTCCGTACTTGAGGTTCCCTCTTCCCACAGCAGCCTTCAGCATCCAGAGAGACGTGTGTGAGGCTGCCAAAGCAATGCTTTTGCTTTGTTTTGCTTTTGATTTTTATGAGTACGTGTTTGCAGTACATAATGATTACACTCAGAGCTAGGTGTAGTGGTGATCGCCTGTCATCCCTGCACTCTGAGAGGCTGAGGCAGGAGGATCTCAAGTTCGAGGCCAACCTGGGTGACTTAGTGACTTAGCTAGACCCTGTCTCAAAATAAAACATTAAAAAAGGGCAGGGGAGGTAGCTCTGAGTGAAGACCCTGGGGTCAAGCCTCAGAACTGCAAAAACAAATATGATTCCATCCATCGTGTGGGGGTTGATTCACATACATAGCATATTTTAATTCTTTTTACCTCCCTTTAGAGCAATGTCTAACATCTCCCACCTTGTCATTGCTATGCAGGCTGTAACTCTAAGGAGATCCGCCAGCTGGTGTGTGAGAAGCGGCTGCAGCGGATGCTGAGTGAAGACTGCTCTCCCCCGCTGCAGGAGGTCATTAAGGAGTGCCGGGCCTACCAGCCTTCTGAGCAGCTCTCTGTGGACAGTAAGCATCTTCCTACCGAGAGGGGCATAAGCCATGTGTTTATTTCACAGTTGTGAAAGATTTTTTGTTTTGATTGATTGATTAATTTTGCATTTTGGAGACAGGATCTTGCTGTTAGTTCAGGCTGGCTTCAGACTCACTGTGATCCTCCTGCCTCAGCCTCCTGCGAGCTGGGATTATAGATGTGTGCCATCACATCGGCAAGATTTTTTTTTTTTTGAGCTCCAAGAGAGTAATTTATATTGAGGAGTGATTTTGCCCACCCGGAGAGCTTGGCCTTTGTCTCAGGACACTTTTGACAGTCACAACTCAGGGGTAGGGTGTATATTCTTGGTGTCTAAGGGATAAGAGGCCAGGGATCAACCTAGCATGGGCTGCTCACTTGTAACCCCAGCCCTCTGAGAGGCTGAGGCAGGAGATTGACTGTTTGAGCCTAGCCTTGGTGGTTTAGCAAGACCCTGTCTCAAAAAAATTGAAAAGGGCTAGGGATTTAGCTCAGTGGTTCTGCTGCCTGCCTTGAAATCACAAGGTCTGGAGTTTGATCCCCGGTACCAAAAAAAAAAAAAAAAAAAAAAAAAAAAAAAAAAAAGAAAGAAAAAAATCTAGGAATGTAGTTCAGTATGAAGGCCTTAGGTTCCATTCCCTAGTATATATGAAAAGAGAAAGTAAAGGAAATTAGGCCAAGGTTGCTACTCAGTTTTCTAAAATGCACAGATCAGCCCTCTGCAACAAAGAATGATTCCACCCAAGTGTCTCAAAAAATAAAAGAAGAAAAGAAAATCAGTGGATCAAGTAAGAGGAGAACTTCCTCTTACTTCCTGTCCCAAATGCTTGAGTGCAGATGGTGGTTCAGGCATCTGCCAGAGCAGGGGACATGGTTTCTATGTGACTGTGCCGTTCGCACGTGGTATTGTATGTCTAGCCTGGTGCTCAGCTTTGGGCAGATCTCACTTCCTGTTCTGTTCATTCACAGAAATCCTAGAGAAACTGTCTGCCTTTACTGATAGTGTGTGAAAACCTGAAGCCAGCAGTCCTGGACAAGCAGCTGAGAGAAACACAAATTGGATGTCTCCGACCTGAAAATGTCAATAAACGATCTCCTGTGTTCACACCTCTTGGCAATGTGACTTTTGTACTTGTACCATTAAGCAGTGCAGTCTCACAGTGCCCACCTGTAATTGTAGCACACAGGAGGCTGAGGCAGGAGGAACACCAGGAGTTTGAGGCCAACCTGGACTACATAGAGAGTTCAAAGGCAGCCTGAACTACATGGCAAGACCCTGTCTCAAAAAACAGAAAAAAAAAAAAAAAAAAAAAAAGCGAAGTCTGTACCACACCATCTGAATCTGGACTGGCACTGTGACTTGATTTGGTCAATAAAATATGCAAGTAATGTCAGTATGTCAGTTCCAAGCCTAGACTTCAAGAGGCCTTACGATGTCTACTACCCTACCCAGACGTGAGCCCATTGGGCTAGTGTGCTGGAGAACAGGGGCCAAATGGAGGGATCTGTCTCAGCCAAGATCCCGAGAGACCAGCCAGCCTTGCTGCTGACCCTGATGACAGCCCAGTGGAGACCAAAGAGCCTTCCAGCGTGACCCAGCCCTACTTGCCCATTCACAGAATCAGGAGCTAGATAAATGAATTGTTGACTTCAACCACTGCTTTTTGGATGATTTGTTACAAATTGGTCGCTAAGCAAATGCTGGCCAACCTTTCCTCTTGCCACCGAACTGAGTACAGATTCCTCCATTGGATACCCATGACCTTGGATCTCCAACCCCACTTGACTTTCCATTCCAGATCCCAGTACTCTCCTGGTGTGGTCTTCAATCTCTGAGCCCCAGAGGACCCAGCAGGGAAACTAAGTCAGGGAGTTGAACCTGGAGAGGACTTCAGGGAAAGGATGGACTTTAAAGAAACCACCCACTCTGCTCAGCTGTTTTTGTAATCATGTAGGAACAGGATCCCAATGTTTCCAGAGCTTTACATTTGTCAAAACAAGCCAAATAGGATTTTTCTGTTGTCTGTATTTTTTAAAGTTGGCATCTCATTAAAAATTATTTTAGCTGGACATGGTGGCATATGCCTGTAATCCCAGCATTTGGGAGGCTGGGGCAGGAGGATTGGCATAAGTTCGAGGCCAGCTGGACTACACAGTAGTTCAAGACCAGCTTGAACTACATGGCAAGACCCTTTTTGGGGGGGGGTGATTGGCCTTGTTCCAGCCACCAAGGAGCAAAAAGCCTTGGGTTGTCCAGCGTGGACTTGAACTTGCAATCCTCCTGCCTCACCTTCCCAGAGTCTATCTACATTTACTGAGTAGCGTGTGAAAACCTGAAGCAAGGATTCCTGGACAAGAGGTTAAGAGAGGCACAAGCCGAACATATCTGATTGGAAAATGTTGATAAATGTTCTCCTGTGTCCACACCTCTTGGAAATGAGACTTTGCTGCTCTTCCCTTCAAGCGGAGTCTCAGCAGGACCAGAGTGTTAGGATTATAGGCAGCAGCACCACACCTGCACATGGCTGCCTGTTAAAGTCCCTAAATCCCTGGTGTTCAGAGCTCCTCTAGATGCTCCGAAAATGGACACTAAACACCTGCCTGCCCCTCTCTCCTGAGGAAGAGGAACAGGCTTACAGGATTTTCCTGGAGGTCCGGTGGGGACTCTGAGCCTCCATTTTCTCTTCTGTGAGATGGGTAACAATGTCGGCCGTCTTGCTGGGACATTGGACATACTGAGAAGGGGCTGCCACATTACCATGGTTAGCAGTAGCGTTCTGGGGAGCCAGTGGCCAGTTCCCAGCATGTCAAGGCTGTGACCAGGGCTTTAGAGACCCAAGATTAAGGACTTTAAAATACTGGGAGTGGGCTTGTTTGCAGAAGGGGCCCTGCTGCTGACCCCCAGCCTTGAAGAGCCTGGGTGTGCAGGTGACTGACACAGAGTCCCTAGGGCTGGCCTGTGGCTCCCTGCGGCTGAGGGGTAGGACAGCAGAACCCCACAATGGAGATGCTACAGATCCTTGCTCCTCAGACCTCTGCTCTGGTCAGTTTCCATGGCAGCGTAGGTCAGGACCCTTGGGGAGTCCCCCAGGCTGGGGAGTCCCACAGAGCCCAGCTGGGCCTGCACCCTTCTTGGGAGCAGAGGATGGGGCAGAGCTGGCTGAGCACCACAGTCTCAGCCTGTTTAGTGAGGATCTGGGACTGCTTTTTCTCTTTTAACCTAGAACGTGGTTTGTTTGCTTTTTTTTTTTAAAGTCTCTGCCATTAAGACTGAAGGTGATGTTCTGTAATCCCTGTACTGGGATTAAGGTGTGGGCCACGACACCCAGCCATCCATTTATAAATTTCTTTCTCCTCGAATTAGCCATTCTATAACCCAGCAGCAGCAACTTCCCCAGAGAGCAGGAAAAGAAGTACAAATGTTGGTGACAGGTTTGGAGGAAAAAATATTGAAAAGTCAGTACTTGGGTATCTACTAATTATGCTCCTCTCTGCTACCAATTCCACTGAAAATGGCTGTTAATAAAATTTTGGCAACACACAGGTTATGCCTGAGGGTTTGTTTGTTTGTGCCTTTCTCCTGAAGAGATTTTTGTCTTCCAAGCGAGGTGTTTGAAAAATCTTTGCTGTTAAATAATGTTAACAATTCATAAGACGGCAATTTACCGGAGTGGTTTGAGGTTGAAGGAATCGTAGGGAAATCCTTTTTCGATCCTATAGGCAAGCTCTTCAAGCCCATAATACAGTATGTATGAGTGCGATCGTCCCACCGACTTTTACAGGCTCCACGATTCTGAGGGCAGTACTTTGAAATGGATTAGCTACTGTCCTTTGGATAGAGATTGCGCCTTCACTAAAGTGTTGGGAGAAGCAACAGGAAGCACAGAATTAATACTTTTATCTCCATTCCCAAGTGAGGCAAGATAATTTTTTTCTCCCGCCAAAAAGTTCAAATTAATAGCGGTTAAAAAAAAACAACTTCCGCTCCTCCTTCGGGGATGGGCGCGAGGTGACGGACATAGGTTTCTACCAATTGTACGTACGTAGTCCCTCCTAGTGAGTGGACCACTCAATGAGAATGGACCAGCCAATGAGAATGCCGTTGTTTCAATTTTTGGCCACCAGCGGAAGAAGAAGTCAGAGTATTGGTCGCCGGCTGGGGCTGCCGCCCAATAGAAACACGCCGAGCCTGCGGTTTGGGCGGGCAGCGCGAGCTGTTTAGGAAAAGATGGTTGGTTTCCGCGCGTACTGAGCTTTTCGGCGGTAACGACCGCAAATGTGGCTGGCTCGGAAATTCCGGCGCGGGCCCACACCTTCAGGTGAGGCGGCTTTTGCTTATCCCCAGGCCGTGGGCTTACTTAGTTTCAAAATAACTTCCTCGGCCATAGTTCCCAGTTGCGGGGCCTAAGAGGTGGGCTGCGGGCAGGCCTGGAACTCAGCAGCCTGAGGGTTGCGAGGCCTCCGGGCTGGCGCCAGTCGAGTGGCGCTGAGTGCATGTGGGAGCGAGGAGCACGGAGGCGCCGAGCGGTCACTGCAGGGGCCGAGCTCGGGGGCGCCTGGCCCCTACCCCCAGGCCCGAGTGCTCGGTTCCTCCCCGGGTTGCGTGGGGCATCTGTTCTTTGCACCGTTTTCAAATGAACAGGATTTAATTTTTTAGTGTATCTTTTTCCACAGCCACAATATGACGTAAGTGCTTTTCTGGTTTCCATTTTATGGGTAAACGAGTGGAGAGAGGTTAGGAAACCCACTTCCGGTCCCCCTATGGTAAGGATTTGAACCGTTGGTCTGACTCCTCGCTGCCTCCTCCAATCCTGCCTACTCCGAGGCCTTGGTGCCCGCCTGTTGTGGACGTTGAAACCTGACTTCAGAACGTTCTTGCAGGGTGGAGAATTTATCTCAGCGGCACTGCGCCTGCCTTGCGAACGCAAGGTCCTGAGTTCAATCCCTGTACCCCCCCCACCAAAAAAAAGTTATTGCAGAATTCTAAAAGAACAAGAGAGATCAAATGTGAATCAGGAAGGGCCGGGGATTTAGCTCAGCGGTTCGGTGGCCTGCCTTGCAAGCGCAAGGACCCGAGTTCAATCCTCGGTACCAAAAACAAAAAAAATAGGAATCAGGAGGATTTATGGGTGCACCTCGACTCAGTCGGACTCTTGTCCAAAAGCCTGAGAGATTGAATAAAAGAAAGTTCCAGTTTGCATACATTTATTTGAAGGGGGGTTCTTTCTAGTGACCCAGTGTGTTTACCAGGACAAGGGCAGGCAGTAATTTAACCTTGTAAGAAGACAGTGTCTTATGGATCGTATGGGAACAGAGTGTCATAAACTTCGTTTATAGAACGTCCCCAAGTGTTACAAAGGGAAAGGGGGAAGGGCACGGAACCTGAGTGTGGAGCTAGGAGAATGGTTTTCTTTTAAGTTGTTTTATTTTTCTTTTCCTTTTCCTTTTTTTTTTTTTTTTTTTTTTTAACGAGGGATCAAAACTGGACTTTAGCTCTTGGGAGGCAGGCTGCGGAACCACTGATCTAAATCCCCGGCCCTTTTAAGTTCTGTTTTAATAGGACAGGCATCATAGTAGATGCCTGTAATCCCAGCATAGATGGAGGCTGAGGTGGGAAGATTGTTATGACCCCCCCCATATTTTTTTAATTAGTAAGATGGCAAATGAGGTTATTTTTACCCACTGTTCCAAGAATTGCACTCGGCCTTGTGCTTAAGACTAGGTGGCAGCAGCAGTTCAGGGCCTTTTCCGTGGTCGGGCACACTGGTAAGAAAGCCTTAACTCCAGAATTGTGCTATTCCGTAGATTTTCATTCTGCAATAAAAACGTTCTGTGTCTTGCTCTTCTGTATGGTAGCCACCTGCCGAGAGTGGCTTTCTTTTTTTTTTCCTTGCTTTTTTTTGTTTTGGTTTTTGAGACAGGCTCTGGCTATCTAGTCCAGTTCAGTCCAGCCTGAACTACATAGCGAGACCCTGTCTCAGAAAACCAAAACAAAAAGTACATATATTTGCCAGTTTTTCCGCTAAAACAATAGAAAAAAATCATCCTTAAAAAAAAAATATATATATATACTTTAAAAAGTATGGTTTAAGTACATGTTTGAAGTTTTGTGTAATTGTTACAAATATTTTATTATATTTACTTACATCTAGTATCCGTATTTATACAGAGATTGTTTGTCACCATAAAATTTTTGTTATGGTTGTTTTTTTTTTTTTTTGAGGTACTGGGGGTTGAACTCAGGACCTTGCAGGCACCGAGCTAAATCCCTGGCCTCACAATGAAGATTTTTTAAAAAACAGTTCTTAAATGTAAACCTATTAAAGGGGGAAAAAATTGTCAAGGATAACAACATTTTTTCTTTTATGCCCATAGTCCTGTTTGAGGCAGTTTACTAGTAAACTTTACAGTCCCAGAGCTTTGATTGTAACCATGCCTTCGAAATAAACTGCAGAACGACTTGGGGCAGTTACACAGAGGGGATCTTTTTTCCCCTTAGGAAGGAGAGCCCAGGATTTACTCTGGCTCCCTGGAACTGCTCAAGAGTGTCTTTCAGCTTTTTTTCAAGCTCCCCCGAGCCCTTTTCTGAAATGAGCCTTTGCTGTGCGGTTGCGGCCCATAATGTCAGCTCTGAGCTTTTTTTTTAAGGACATTTACCTCAGCTGCCTTTTTATTGTTTCCAGCTCTGGGATCTTCTCACACGGAGGCAAAACTCCAGGTCCCTCTGCCCTTCCAAGAGTACCAGTGCTGGTGGTGCTGGCCTGTGGTCATTCTGCACCTCCATGTCCGAGGGAGGACAAAGAACTGGGGCAGACTGGGGCCTCCGCGGCGCATTAGCAGTTGTTGCTAATTTGTTTTGTTTCAGGACTGTGCCTCTGGGGGGCCAGATAGTTGAACTTCTGGGAGGCAGCTAATTGTGCTTTTGGTTGAGGGCATGAACCTGTTCAGGACCCAAGGACGGTGGAGCCTCGCTGTTTTTTTTAGACAGTGACCCCAATTCTGACCTTTTGTCCGGGAATTGCCTCTTTTCCACCCAGACACATTGATTTCTTCCTCATCCTCTCTCTCTCTGCAGTCACTCCTGTGGTGAGAGTTCAAGGGCAGAGTAGAGCAAAGGAGGAGTTGGGAGGTGCAGGGCTTGGGCAGCTGCTATGGTTGAGGGTAGGGGATGACCTGGAGGGGTTGGTGCCCTGGGTATGGTGCTTGGAGCTGCATTTGGTGGCGGTGGCAAGGCTGCTGTCCTACAGTCCTGGATGGTGACACTTCTGGTCACTGGAGTCACAGATGAAGCTGTAGTTTACCAGGTGGCTTCCCAGCAGCTTGGTCTCCCGGCAGAAGACACAAGAGTGGCTTGGGGTTGAGAAGGTAGGCAGTAACTGGGATTTCCCCAAGACGTCCTTGCTGGGCGGCCAGGCTCTGCTGCTGCCATTTGAAGATCTTGGAAGTAGAATCCAGTCATACCTAGTGGTAGTCGAGGTCGTAACTCTGTTGGTGATGCCAATGTTGAGGGGGAAGGTCGTGGCCACCCATGTGGGTTTTCTACTAGCCTTCCAGTGTCAGGGAGAAGTGGGTCCCAGGCCACGCTGTGTTGGAAGTGTCCTCAAACAGGTGGAATGGCACCAGCGCTGCCAGTCCCAGGGCAACATCCACCTGCTGCAGTAGGAAGAGAATCTCGGATGAGGCAAGGACTGTGGGGGAGGGTGAGACCCCAGGCAAAGCCCTTTGACTCTGTTTCTCCCTGTGCAGGATCCAGCTCTGCCCTATTTGCTCTTCTACCCCAGCAGCCACCCACTCGCTCCCTCCACCTGTCACTGGAATTGCTGCATTGAGCTGCTACTCACTCTTTTTCTTTCTTCCTTCCTTTCTGTCTCTCTCTGTCTCCCTCCCTCCCTCCCTCCCTCCCTTTTTGGTATTTTGAGACAGGGTCTCCCTATGTAGTTCAGGCTGACCTTGAACTCGCAGTGTACCCTAGGCTATCCACAAACATCCATCCTCCTGCCTCAGCCTCCCAAGTTCTAGGATTACAGGTGTGCGCCACTGTCCCTGCTGGGGTTCCGTCTTGACCAGAAGTTTTGATTTACTCTTTCCCCTCCATTTTCTATATTCTTTCTATGATATTTCAGTTAATCAGATGTATTGGCTTGTCTTTTTTGCGGGTAGGACTGAGACAGGGCCTTGCTATGTTGCTCGAGCTGGCATGGAACTTGCTGTGTAGCCCAGACTGGCCTTGAATTCATAGTCCTCCTGCCTCAGCCTCCCAGGTGCTGGGATTGTGGGCCTGTGCCACCATCTCTGGCTTTGTCTTCTTCTTGGGTTTGTTCTTTCCTCATTCTGTTTCACTATGCGTGTAGTATCTACACCAGTAAAAGTCTAAAGATTTTAACTAGCTTGATTTGTAAACATGGAATTTTTGTCCATTTCCTGTTTCTTGCATTGTCCCCCCCCCCGTTTTTTCTGTTTATCTGCTTTGGTCTCTTTTATTTGTTTGTTTTTTGAACCAGGGTCTTGCTTTGTAATTGAGGCTGGCCTCAAACTCACTATGTAGCCCATGCTGTCCTCAACTCATAGTAATCCTCCTGCCTCAGCCTCCCAAATGCTGGGATTACAGGTGTGTGCCACCATGCCCAGCTGGTCTCTTTCTCATTGGAGAAGTTTACTCATAGGTCAGTTGATGCTTGAGTACAGTGAACCCTTGACTTAGGAACTCAGTTTGTACCCAAGGGCTGCTTGTAACTCAAGTTGGTCAGTTGAAGGCTCAGGCTCCTCTACACAGCCTTCAGAGTCTCTCCTGTGTACATGCAGATCTCAGTGTCCTTAGAGAGACGTTGGCTCGGGATTTCTCAGTTAACCTCTCACGGGAAAGGATGTTGCAATGTTCCTTCCAGAACTCTTTAGGGGTTAAATCTGTATCTAAGATCATCTGGAATCATGAGTGGCCGGCATTTATAACTCAAGACTTTGGGTGTAAATTAAAACTAAAATTCTGGTTGTAACCCACATTGTTTGTATGTCAGACTGGTTGTAAGTTGAGAGACCACTGTAGTTCGTTTTTAGAGGAAGAACCTGGAAAGCTGATTAGAAGCTCTGAGTGGCTGAACCTTATCAGCTGGAGGACTTTTAGACTTTTTTTTTCTGGCGATACTAGAGATTGAACTTGGGACCTTGTGCTTGCGAGGCATGGAGGGCTTTTAGTTTTAGGTATGTTTATAGAGAGGTGTAGGTTGGAGGTTTCATAGCTGTCAGTCCATGAAAAATTTTTTTCCAATTATAATTTTTATATTTGACCTTAACAAAAAGGTTGAGAAGCGATTCAATTTTAATTTTTATTGGTACATGTTTTCAGTATGTAATGATTACATTCATCTTGAGTTGGTTTGTGTACATAGTACATCTTAATTCTTCTTGTCCCTTCCCTCTCTCCTCCTTTCCCACTCCAAGATCCTTTTTCTTGTCCTGGTCTTCTTCCTCTTCTTCTTCCCCTTCCTCCCCTTCCTCCCTTCCTGCCTCCTCTTCCTCTTCCTCTTCCTCTTCCTCTTTTTGTCCCTTCTCTCTTTTCCCACTCCAAGACCCTTTTTCTTGTCCTCATTTTCTTTCTTTTTTTTTTTCCTTCTTCCTCTTCTTCTGCTGCTTCTTCTTTCTTCCTCCTCCTTCTTTCTTCTTCTAGATCAAATTAGGGACCTTGTGCTTGCAAAGCAGGTGACGGAACCACTGAGCTAATCCCCAGCCCATTGTCCAGGAAGTACACCACATTATAGTCTTCTAACCCTTATTTTTACTGCTGAGTCACTTTCCATCTTGGTAATAAGCATATCTGGTTCAAATTTCTGTTTTTTTATAACATAGAGGGGGAAGGGGTTTCTGTCTTTGTTTTGGACTGGCTGGTGTGTATTTAAGTAGGAAACAAGCTAATCACTTCATACTTAACCTCCTTGCTGCAGAATGCCCAGGGCCGTTTTTACCACTGAGCTACATCTCCAGCACTCCTTCCCCTTTTTGAAGTTATTAGATACTCACTAAATTGCCTGGACTGGCCTTGAACTCAGGGTCCTCCATCCTCAGCCACCTAGAGTACTGGAGTTGCAGGGATATTCCACCACACGTGACAATAAGTGCTTCTTTTAGACAGAAAAGTTTATTGCCAAAATACTTTTGACTTAAGTAGCCCATATGTTCTCTTTAAGCCTGTCTCTTTTTCCCCCCTTGGTTTTAAAAAAATAACCTTTTATTGCTGGGTGTGGTAGTATATGCTTGTAATCCCAGTACTCAGAAGGTTGAGGCAGGAGGATTGCCAAGAATTCGAGGGCAGCTTGAGCTGCATAGTGAGTTTAGGGCCAACTAAACTACAAAGCAAGGCCCTGTCTCAATAAACAAACAAACAAACTTGAAATAACCTTATTTATTTAATTGTGCTGGGAATCAGACCCAGCACCTCATGTGTACTATCCTCTCTGGCTAAGAATACTCTTAATCAGGCGATCTTATTATTTCAGCTCCCCCTGCCCCTTACTGGGGACTGAACCCAGGGCCTTGGTACTGGTCAGCATCCCCAGCCACATTGTTTGTTTTTGAGAAAGGTCTTGCTTAGTTAGTTGCCCATGCTGGGCTTGAGTTTGGTCCTCCTTTTGTTTTAGGCTCAAAGCGTGCTAGGATTACAGGTAAGCGTCACTATACCTTATAATATGTTTTATCTGTTTTACTAATAATATTTTTTTACAAATATTATTTCCCCAGTGATGGCTCACGAAGCACTGGGCTGTGATCCTCCAATGCCTTTAGATGATAATACAGCAGATCCTATTGCTGAGTTGATGGGCAGCCAAGGGAGACTGCCTCTGTTCCAGCCTGCGCCTACTGAAGTGGCTGGAAACCAGGGGTCACTGCTCCTGCACCAGACTGCTCCTACTGAAGTGGCTGGAAACCAGGGGTCACTGCTCCTGCACCAGGCTGCTCCTACTGAAGTGGCTGGAAACCAGGGGACACTGCTCCTGCACCAGGCTGCTCCTACTGAAGTGGCTGGAAACCAGGGGACACTGCTCCTGCACCAGGCTGCTCCTACTGAAGCAGCTAGCAGCCATGGGAGGCCACTCTCGCTCCAGCCTGCTCTTGTTCAGGTGGTCAGCAGCCAAAGAGGACCATTGCTTCTCCAGCCTATTCCTACTCAAGTGGCCAACAGCCAGGGAGGACCACTCCTTCTCCAGTCTTCTCCTCCTCCTCAAGTGGCTAACAGCCAAGAGGGTCCTCTCCTCCAGCCTCTTCCTGAAGTGGCCAGCAGTCAAGGGAGACCCCCTGTGCTCCAGCCTTCTCCACAGGTGCCAGTTGACCTGACAGGGGAAGTAGAGCTCTTTGAAGAGAACGTGGAGAACACCGGTCCAGGAAGTTCAGGGGAGCCTAGGCAGGAGTCTGATGCTAATGACGCTGTCCAAGCACCCTCACTAGAGTCAATGAGCAGCTTCATCAGTGGGCTGCAGAGACTTCATGGCATGCTGGAATTCCTGAGGCCTCTACCTTTCGGCCAGAGTGTGGGGCCGCTGAGAGCAAGAAGGAGGGGACGTGTTTCACGTAGGGCAAGAGCTGGAGCATCCCAGAGGACAGAGAGTGCCAGGTAAATATATGTACAAATTCTGTGGTGTATTGTAGGAATTGTGAAACTGGTCATAGCCCCAGGCTGCAAGGATAACTTTTTTTCTCTGTCAGTGTGGTTTGTTTTCTTTCTCTCTCTCTCTCTCTCTCTCTCTCTCTCTCTCTCTCTCTCTCTCTCTCTCTCTCTCTCTCTCTCTCTCTCTCTCTCTCTCTCTCTCTCTCTCTCTCTCTCTCTCTCTCTCTCTCTCTCTCTCTCTCTCTCTCTCTCTCTCTCTCTCTCTCTCTCTCTCTCTCTCTCTCTCTCTCTCTCTCTCTCTCTCTCTCTCTCTCTCTCTCTCTCTCTCTCTCTCCCCCTCTCCCTCTCCCTCCCTCCCTCTCTCCCTCCCCCCTCCCTTTTTAGAGATAGGGTGTTGCTTGAACTTATGGTCCTGCCTCAAGAACCTTTCTGAGCTCTCTTTCCTTTTTTTTAAGACATGTAGAAGAATTTCCCTGGTTCACTTCACTAAGTAATAGAGGGTATAAGTTACCTGATAGGCTTTGAAAACTGGAAGGAGGTTTAGTAAGTTTCATAGGAAATTTCTATAAAGATGCTTTGTCCATATTCTCTTGGCTTAGTGTGATACACATATTGGGTATTTTCATCAGAAAATTCCTTGATATATGTAGAGTCAGGGTGTGGATTATAGAATTTAGAGGTAGAAAGATGTCGGTCAAGCTGTATGAACGATACCCATATGTTTGTTTCCACAAAGGAAATAAATATGAAAGGCCAGGGGTTATATAGTTCAGTGGAAAGAATATGGGTTTGGATCCAAATCAATGTACTAATAAGACTTCTTTCTCACTTCACATAGAAATTTAAACTTTGCTAGGACAATTTGCTTGTAACTTTTGAGTATCTTAAGATGAAAATCTGTCTCACGTTTTCTCGTTGCTCAAACAAAATACCTGACACCCAAAGTTAAAGGAGGAAAGGTTTATTTAGCTTCAAGGAAGGGTAGCATGGCAAAGCAGCATCATAGAGGAGAAATAGATCATGGCATGGCAGGCAAGAAGTTCCAAGTGGCAAGAGCTGCAGCAGCAACCAAGCCTGCCTTTATATTTAATAACGGGTTGCCTGGCCTTTGAGTAGTGCCACCCACCTACACCCAGGGTGAGAAACCCTTATCTCAGCATCATATCCTTAATCCCAGCATCAAACACCCTAGATCTTGCCACCTTTGGAAAAGACTGATGCGGTCTGTCCCAGCAGAAACCTCCTGAGCCTGATCTTTACCAGTTGCATTTGTGAGTATTCTGGTCTGAGCTTTGACCAGAATCTCCCATCAATTTCAGCTTAAAGCATTCCAGGGCTGCTGCTTCTCCAAACCTTTCCAGACTTTTCCCACAAGCTGGTTCCAGAGGTTCCTGAACCATATGGTTAGGTACAGTCACAGCAAGGTACAATCACAGTAATGGCACCACTCCCAGTACCAAAATCTGTCTTAGTTACTTTTCCCACTGCAGAGACAAAAACCTGACAACCACAGGGAGGAAAGTTTTTATAGCTTTTATAGTTGCAGTCCATAGTTGGCTGGCTCCAAGGTAGGGTGGCATGACAGAGGGGCATTGCAGAGGAGAAACAGTCCATGGCAGGGCAGGCAGGAAGCAACATGTAGCAAGAGCCATAGCAGCAAGCAAGCCTGCCTTCCATTTCATCCAGACTGCCTGCCCTTTGACACCCTTAATTCCAACGTCACACCCTAGATCCAGCCACTTGTGAAAAACCCCATCTGTGACCACATGAGACTTTGGGGAGGACATCTAGCTACAAACCCTAACAAGATCTCAGTATGACTTTTGCCATTTATTCACTGACAGACTATCCCTGGGCCAGGCAGGTGTCAAGAAACAGGGCCCAAAGGCCAGCAATTTAGCTCAATGATTCTGCTGCCTGCTTTGCAAAAAAAAAAAAAAAAAAAAGGAAGCAGGGCCAAGTTGAATAGTTTTTCCTCCAGTCTGAGCCAAGAAGCCAAATTTGGCGAAAGTCAGTTTGTTTTTTGTTTTTGTGTGTGTGTGTGTGCCATGGATTGAACACGTGACCTTGTATTTGTGAAACAGGTGGCAGAACCACTGAGCTAAATCCCCTAGTGAGTTTTGTTTTGTTTTGTTTATTTGTTTTTTGCCCTGGAGATAGAACTCAGGACCTTGTGCTTACAAGGCAGGTGCAGTGCCAGTGAGCTCTTCTTCCTAACAAGCTTCTTGGCCAGTCGCAGACTCCTCTTTCTCTTTGGAGCTGCTTGATTCTGGCTGCCATTCATCAGTAAGTCCTTAAATATTTACAACTCTCCGCTGTGTGAGACTGAACTTTACGCTAGTTGTATATTAGAGAATCAGAAAACCTGTTGCCGTGACACATGGTGAATCTAGGACTGTGGAAGATAAGAGCAAAATGCATTGTGTAGTCCAGGGATGCTAAATGCAGAGGAGGAGGATTTCTTGGGTTCTGAGAAACCTTAACACTGCCTCTTTTTTTAAGTATATGTGCTGCCAAAGCGAGCACTTAACACTGCCTCTTATTCTTGGTTCCCTTTCTGTGTCCCCACCTGACCCTGGAAATGCTAACGTTGCTTTGTGAAAGTAAGATTACAGAATGACTTTTATCAGCCTAAACTTAGCCTATTAGCCTAGCCTTACTTCTGCATGTATTTGATTTGACTGACATGCTCTTAGGAATTGCTTTTTTGTGATACTGTGAATTGAATTCAAGGCCTTTACAGTGAACTATATATATCTCTTGTCCTTTTCTTTTTTCTCCCCCACCTCCCCGAAATATGATCTTGCTGAATTGCCCAGGCTGGAATCAAACTCAGTCTTCCTGCTCAGCCTCCCAGAGTGCTGGGATTATTGGTGTGTTCAATGACATCTGGCACGAAATGCTATTCATTTGTGTTGGTTCTTCTGGCAGCTATGACTATGGTTTATTCACTGTTTCCAAAAACAAGTTTGTAAACTTGCTTAGCATCTTTATGAAAAGAACCTGGGCCACTGTGGCGGTGCACATTGTAATTGTAGTACCAAGGAGGCTGAGGGAGGAGAAGCGTTAATTTAAGGCCAGCTTGGGCTCCATAGCCAGTTCAAGGCCAATGTGAACTGCACCCTTGAGACCCTGTCTCAAAAAAAGAAGAAGAAAAAGTATGAGTGATAGCAAAAATGGCAAATTGGCACCTTAAAAACAGTGAAACTATGGGCTGGGGATGTGGCTCAGCAGCCCTGTGCCTAACTGGCTAGTGCAAGGTCCTGAGTTTGATCCCCAGTACCAAAAGCAAAAACTGTGAAACTAAAGCCTCATTCTACATTAGGCTAAAATTTTGAGACACAGCCCAAGCTTCTGTCACAGTGAAAATTTAGTACTGAAGCCTGTAACATTTCTCTTAAGAGTAATGAAAAAGTGTTGATTTTCAATATTAGAAATAATCTAGCCGGGCATGGTGGCACACGCCTGTAATCCCAGCTTCAGGAGGCGGAGCAGGAGGATTGCTATTAATTCAAGACCAGCCTGGGCTACATAGTGAGTTCCAGGTCAGTCTCAACTACATAGTGAGACCCTGTCTCAAAAACAAAACAAACAAACAAATAAAAGAATCTAGATCATGTGCTAAAATGCCAATACTTTGTACAGTTCAGATTCTAGGCTCCTAAAGTATATATTGCTGGAAGCAATTTGGATCTAAGATCCCAGGAGTTTTGAAGCTGTCATTGTTTGTCCATAATTCAAGTGGAGATAAAGAATTATGGGCAGGGCTGGGGATTTAGCTCAGCGGTGCCACTGCCTGCTTCACAAGCATGGTCCTAAGTTCGATCCCTGGTACCAAAAAAAAAAAAAAAAAAAAAAGGAAATATTGAATTGTGGGCAGATAGGATGACTGGATTAAGCATCCGTTCTTTTAAATAGGGCTTTCTTGAAGCGAACCTCATTATAGTGACCTTGATGAGTATTGAAGGAATTATATGTAAAATTCCTTACATATAAATTAATTAAAAATTAATTTTAAAAAAATAGTGAAACTGCCCGGTATGGTGGTACACACCTGTAATTCAGCACTCAGGCTGAGGTGGGAGCATTCCACAAGTTCAAGGCCAGCCTGAACTCCATAGTGAGACCCTGTCTCAAAAGGCTGGGGTCAGGGGTAGGGGGACAGAGTGAGCAAAATCTGCCAGGATCTCAACTTTTTCAGAACTCTGAGAATTAACCAAATGGTTGCAGTAATCCAAGGAGTAAAAGTAAAGTAGCTGAGTCTGTTTTGTGGCTTTCTCTATTACCATCCCCTTCTCCAGCTCCCTGGGAGTCTTGAAAACCAACTACCTGTGTTCACATGAAAGCCAGCAACAGCCTGGCAGCCGACTTTAGAACAGAATGGATTGGCACTCGTTCAAACCCTTGCTGTTCCTAAGGAATGTTCTTAATGTGACTTGTCTGATGGTGCCCAGCCGTTTGCAGGGCTGTGACTCAGTCTGGTCCAAAAAAGAAAAAAACCTAATGCTTTCCCTAGGGCCTGCCTGAGGCAGTAACATACTCAGTAGGGCAAATGACAGACTAGTCAAAAATCATAAAAGGAAAATCTGGGGAATGAGATCTTCATAGAAGTTTCAAAAAAAAACCCTCATGCAGTCCCACATGTGTAAATACCAAATAGTTTCCCTGGTGTGAATATTCTGCAACAATGCATAAGATTCTAATAAGATTACTGACATTTAGAAATGGAAAGAAAGGAGCTAAAGGTGTAGGGAAGGTGCGATGCATAGGGGAAGAACAAAAAGGGAAAAGAAAAAAATGTGAGAGAATGAAAAGATGAAAATAAAGTGTTTGTAGATGGGGAGGGGAGGAGGGGGTGAAGGGAGGTCAGAGGTAAGGGGAAAAAATGAGAATCAAGACTTGCCATGTAAACGTACATGATCCCAACAATGAATGTAACTGTACTGTATCCCTAAATGTACCAATAAACTCAATAAAATTAAAAAAAAAAAAAAAAAAAAAAAACCTTATGCGTCTCAGGGAATTTAGGTCACACATGTTAGGCAAGTGCATACTATTAAGCTACATCCCCAGCCTGTTGTTTTTTGTTTGTTTTTTCCCAACTTTATTTTGAGGCAGTCTCATTGAGTTGGCCAGGCTAGTCTTGCACTTGCAATCCACCTGCCTCCACCTCCAAAGTAGCTGGGATTACAAGTGTGGGATGGTACTCCTGTCCCTACTTCAGGTTAGTTTGTTACCAGGGTTTAAACTCAGCACCTTGCAATTGTGAGGCAGGCAGTGGCACTACTGAGCTAAATCCTCGCTGCTGTACCCTTCCCTTTCAGTTTTTAAAGTTAGCATTCAATGGCTTGGAAATAGATTGAAATGACTAGGATTTACCCTGAAATGTCTGTAGGTTTCTTTTTCTTTTTCTTTTTCTTTTTCTTTTCTTTTCTTTTCTTTTCTTTTTTTTTTTTTTGCCAGTTTTTTTCTTTTTATTGAGTTTATTGGTACAATACAGGTATACAATACAGTTACATTCATTATTGGAATCCTGTACCTTTACATGATAGGTCTTGATTCTCATTTTTTCCCCTTGTCCCTGCCCTCCCTTCACCCCCTCCTCCCC